TTCTGTAAGCTACACGTGCATAATACATGTATGGTAAAGACAAAATGGATAATAAAAATAATCTAACAACGTATTTGTAAAGTAATACAAATGCGCTTAGTATAAAAGTAGGCCTACGTATATTTAACTGTCTTAGATAATTGAAAAGTATGCAATGTGTGGAAAACACTATCTGAATGATTTTATTGTCTTTGATTGAAAACGATGAAAATACGCATGAAAACATTTAAAAATCAAATAATTTGGCCTCTTGCTATAATTGTGTTTTTGCCTGACGGTTTTGTTTCAGTTTGACAAAATTTTCATACTTGTCAGACCGAAAGTCTGACATTTTTTACCTGTCGTAAATTTTTTAAATATACTAGAGTAAGACACGGTAAACTTTAATAAACGTCTGGGAAAGAGTCGAGAATTCCTGTCTCGCCTATTTAACACTTTTAAGTTTATTTAACAATTTAAAAAAATTAAAAGGTTTTAATTACAGAAGAAAGGTCGTAGTTGTGGCCGCCCCCCTTACCGAACAATTGAACAAGTAACACCTGATGCCTTATCAGGTACAAAACGATTTAATCAGTTTACCGACGAACAATCTGCGTGTCAGTTTTACCTGTATACACAGTAGGTACGAGTCAAACAATGCAGGGAATCTTTTCATTTTATCATTTCAAAAATCTCTTAAGACATCCTTCAAACAAGACATAAAAATCGTAATGAATTGATACTTCCGGTAAATTAGGTGATATCGCCACAGATTGCATATATAGCCTACATGTAATATTGTGAAGACGTAGGCCTACGCACCTGTCCACACTCTTGAAAGCTGTGTACGAGTACTGGCTATTTTGATTTTATATATAAAAAAATTACGAGTCTCTTTCACATATCTTTATTATCGGAAGCATTTAAAAGCACTCTGAAGCTTTAGTTCGTCATCACTATTGAAAATGCAGCCAAGGCTCGGACGCTTAGGTGAAGTGTAGTTGTACAGCGCATCGTATTTAAACTGAGAAAGAAAACATTTAATTGCTTGATTCTCCGTCCAAATAGCTGTTGTCTTGCCTACATTTGTACAGTTTACGCATTTCTGTGCTTCAGCCACCTTTTTATTTTGACAGAAAGCAGTGCACGCTTCAAACGACCTTTTTATATGCGCACCTTGTACATCATCTACACATAGCATTGCTATGCTGAAAACAGCAGAGGACTACCATGACCCCTGTGGCGCGCGGTTCCTGTCATGCGCACTTCGTATTTCCGCAAAAGATGAAAAAGGTCTTAAACTGTGCTGACCGTTTCGTGTAACACAATAATCTGTCTGGCATTGTCTGTCTTTTTCGCACCATTCTGGCAGAAATTAACAATTTTGTAAAACACTGTTTAATTCATTTTACACACTGCAAAACCGGCCGCTTGCATGCAAAATTTCAAATTCTTCTATGCAGTAATTGCCGACATTTGACAGAACCATGCTTCGCCAAAGCAAAGCTTTGACCAGCCCAAAGGTGCACTACCAAATTAAATCACTGCAAATTACACAATGCAGCAGTGCAACGGTCACATAAGTCAGTTAATTGGTAGCCACACACCTGACTACACACTTCTCCATTCAAATATCTTTTAAGAGATATGATTTTTTTAAGAACGCTTTTTTACATAGGTATAACTTTGAAACTGAAATATTCCTTATTTAAAAATGTCAAGTATGTACTTACGACAGTCACTTTCTTGGCGTTTTGGAATTTAGTCATGTTACATGTGATCAAATGTGATCAAATTGTGTACGTCATACGTCGATGCTTTTTCTTCAAGTTTTTATTAACAGGTTGATGCTAACGTAGGCCCTACAGTGTATTACAAATAAGTATAAGCATCACACCATATTTCCTTACTGAAATATATCAAACGTACCACTGGTAATTACCGGGAGAGATACAGGTAAAGATGGCAGCATTGATAACTGGGTTTACAGCGCTGTTAGTGCAGCGTGGTAGTGTCAGATTGTTATCTGATAAAGTTTGCTACTAGTGCCTGGGAACAAAAGGTCTGGAACTTGACAATCAAGTTGATTAAATCCCGAAAACGAAATCAGAAAATAGAGCATACCTGCCCAACATTGATTTGTTCAGATTCTTGACTAAGGGCGTATTCCCAGAGCTTTTAGATCGATCTATCCCCTCGGGGAGTCTCACTAGATTACTGTCAGATAATCCGGCTTAAATGTCCGTCCCGCCTACTACAAGCTGTAAGGGGGTAATTAACTTTCGTGCCCGCTCGGCTGACAGCTATTTAGCGTGAACCCCCAGGGAGTTAGGTCGATCTAAAGTAGATCGATCTAATCTCTGGGAATGGAGTCTAAGGGGTGCGTTACTGTGTCAAGGGCCAAGACTTGAACTTAGGGGTTTGGCATGTCACTGGACATTCCTCTCGATTTCTGCCCAAGTCTAATAAAGCCTCAGTTGCTTAACTTTGGCCAAATTTCCAATATCTACAGGTTTAATGCTCTGGGTCTCTTCTCTGGCGGTGGTTAATTGGGGACACCTGTGCGGCCTGTCAACGCACCTAGACCCACTTTTGCCAGTGCCACATTTTCCACTGCCGTAAATATCAAATTTGTGAATAGAATGAAGAATAATGACAGTTATGAAAAAATGTTTTTAAGTACCTGTCACCTTCGCCACAGTAACCATATGGGCTGTGCTGCCTCACCTCCACAGGCGACACCTTGCGGAGCAAGCGTGCGTAATCCAGGGTGCAACTGAAAATAACCTTGTCGCGCGACCCTGTTGCAAATTAACTGGGTAGATTTTTAACAAACAAATAATGTGCGGTACACATTATACAAATAATGTGCGGTTCCACAGGGATATACATGTAGACCTACACGAGATTATCCAAGTGGCAGTGCCAAATAATTATTAAGTGTTCCATGAATCACACATCAGCATTATCCTCTGCCAGGGCCTCAGTTATTATCATGTGGACATTTAGGGCTGATGCATTTTTGGCTCACGGAGAATAACTGTGAATATAACCAGAGACATACACAGTAAACAGTGATCAAGACATACGCATACAGTAAAAAGTAACCTGGAAAGAAATATGATAAATTCTGAACATTTAGTCTAATAAAGCCTATATTTGAAATCAAGCTGTATTTTTTAGTGCTATGGAATGCTTTCGTAAGCACAGCTTGTCTTTGACCAAATTCGCCGGTCACGTCATCAGAAAAGCCCAAATCGCGGACCTCATCCTGGCTGGAAATTAAAGATTCCTGTGGGGAGAAAACTAAAGGCAGGCAAAGGCCCATATTCCTAAACATACTAAAGGAAAACACAGGGTTGAACACACAAAGAAAAACATGGGACACAGCAGGGAATCAAACGCTGAAAATGGCATTATAAGGGACCATGCATTCCCACAGATATTTGGATATTCTATCTCCCTGGGCAGTCTCACTAAATTGCTGTCAAACTAAACGGCTTTAACGTCTGTCACGCCTAGTGAAACTGTTAGGGGGTATTTATCTTTACCCCTAGCTGATTCGGTAGGCGTGACAGACATTTAAGCCTCTTGAGCTGATAGCAATAGGCCTATAGCGTGAACCCCCAGGGAGTTAGGTCGATCCAGTATGGGAACCCAGTCTTAGTCGCCGAAGGAGAGAGAAGTCAAACATGTGATTTTATAACATATGTGCTTTTCCATTAATCGTTTTGTCAAGGATTACGGTTGCAACTATTATAATGCATAATTGCTACTAAAGATACTAAAAACATGATTTTGCGAAAAATGGGCAACAAGCTGATTTTTGATCAGGGTATTAAAGGGATAACGACTGGCCAAAAGGGATTTTCCTGGGGTAAACGACGATTTTCCCATACTTACCGATGGTTAATAATCCATTCCTACATTTAAAGTTAGTCCAGTGTTATTTTCTAAAATAGTTGTTTTGTTTTTTTTTTGTAATAGTCTCTTAAAAGATTATCACGGAGGTTATTTAGCCATCTATGAGGGTCCACATGGTCTGATGGCAAGCACAAATTCCTGAAGAATTGCGAAAACGCTTTAGTGGCAGGGGGTGGATTCAAGATTGTTTGAAGGGGGGGGGGCTGCGGATGGGAAGCCGTGGGGTTCGGGACCCGAAAATTTTGATATTCTAAAGTTTGGAGGGAGAACGGTGCCTTTTGGTACGGTTTTAAGACTTACGTTGAACAGTAGTCCATTTAATGTGTTATCAGGGATTTTTTGCTGTTATTAGTTTTGCTTTTGATGTAAAACAAAGTGCATTTAATCAGTAATTTAATTGTTCCCTACTGCGAAAATGAGCGATTGGATGTTGATAAGGGATTTTTTGTAAAATCATTTATCTTGATCTATGATATTTTTTTTATTTTGAACTTTTTAGATGTGCTTTGAAAAAAAGAAAGAAAAAAGAAACAAGAACAATGAACATGCCGGTAAAAATCACAGTTTATAAACAAACAGAGCTAGGTGTTCGTGCATGAACTTGATGTAGCCTACAATGAAACATTCAAATTGCTGCCAATAATACGTGAAAATGTGTTACTCCCCCCGATCGTTGAAGTGATGGCTACAGAAAACATGGCCTTATTCGGAACATGGAAGTATAGCAGTTGTATTTCCATTTTCGGAGATGCGCCTTTCAAGACAAAGGTCAAGCTGTGCATCGAAACACAGGGAATAAAGAAATACCTTCAGAAACTTTATTGCATTTGATACATTAAGGCCATATGAAATAAGTATATTGTTTACTGTGGCCTAAATTAAAAATATTATCAATAATTGGACATAATTACACTTCTAATTTTGTAAATTTGAATGGACGAAATCTGACAATTTAACAAGACCCTGTGGCATGTACTCTTCAGTATTAGAGGTCTGAAAGTAATTTACCCGGGAAAGGCTGAACAAAGAGGCAAGTATTCCAGGAAATTATTTCTCAGGTCGATAAATAGAATGGTAGATATTGTAGTGATATTTGATAGAATATTGTGATCGACTGTTCTTCTTAATTTGATTAGCCAAATATGAATAATGTCTGGTGGTGTTAAACGGGACAGCAAGAAACGTGAATATTGAATCTCGTCACTTGCACTCCATCTTATGCTCCTGTCCCTCTTCCTCTAAAATTTTGCTCTTATGATTTCGCATTTTGCTTATTTCATAACTGATAGTGACTTCTAGGGTAAGGTTTTATCTCTAGCATGAGTACGTAACCATTCTGGGGGAGGATTGAGAGATAAAAGTGACGTAATGGCCTTCGTCGCCAGGTATTTATCGGGTTTAGCAGGGCACCTGTTCAACAATGACGGTGTTCCCTGACGGTATGTCCTCATGATATCTGTACACTAGTCCAGAGGTTGGCAAAATCAGTCTTCATCATGTGTCCAGGAAAAATATCAGTGTATTTTAGGTATGTGAGAGTTGGGTTTGGACCGAAGTATTGAGATGAAATTAGTATTACATGTGTATTATTACATAACACCTTAGTATATGGTATGAAAAGCGACCATGTGGTTGGCATATTTATGTGTTTTAAATGTGGATATCAACACTGCTAGACCCAGTATTTCATATTAAGTCAGGCGGGGCACCAGTTAGGTTTATATGTGTGTTAATGTAAGGTTGCGCACACACTTTTATTTCCATGTATGGGTAACTACCCTATATCTATAGTTAACGATGAAAATGGCATCCAGTTAGGAAATCAGCTTTGCTTCAGGGTCCATAGATATCAGAATGTGTGTGCATGTGTGCATGCATGTGTGTGTGTGCGTGAGAGATGGGTACAAGATGGTTCAAGGTACGTATGATGGTGTATGTGGGGAGGGTGTCAGCATTTATTCTTGGCTTAGCTGGTCTATGTGCAAAATAAGCAAAATAGGCAAAAAAATATATATTTTTTTTAAAATAAAATTGAAGATAAAGCAGAGAAAGATCTCACTCTGGAGTTTACATTGTGCTGGAATAGGGCTAGCAATTTTTTATCGCTAAGCCAAATCGCCACTTTTTTGTCAATATGTTATCCAAATGGTTATAATTTGACTAAAACGAGTCGAATCAAGTCCTTTTTTGTTTAGCCAATTTATGTCAGTTTTAGCAATTGGCAAAATTGGCAAGTGTCAGTGCTATCCCAGTGTATGTGTGTGTACAGTATGTTAGTTGGACCTTGTTTCACATTGAACTATTATCACAGGAGTTTGTATTCAAACATTCTTCATAATTTACACCTTTCCACTATACAATGAATTGATACATGGCAAATAGACTGTAGCTAATACGTGGCGGATAGAATGCAGTAGATTGAAGAGGGTTGCTCATTATTAGTTGAGCTGTGTTTACCTAAGACAGGTGTGTCAAACTCACATGAAATACACATCAGAGTTGAACATACTCAAGACATTGGATTGCTGATAACCGTGCTCTAGTTTTATGCCACGTTGAAATCAGTATTGCTACAATAGGGTCAACCTGATTTAAGTTTAAAATACACGACTTTTCACTCATTGTATAGTATTATTTCTTTTCTTTAGTGATAGTACGTTTATAAAAGTACATAAAAAAGAAAAGCTTTGGCATGCTTTGGTCTACTTGTAAATTGACCTAGCGACTGAAACCAGACATTAGCTGTTTCTGCAGAACCCCTGAATTCTGCTTTTTTTTTTTAACATGACCCCAGAGCAATTTAACCCCCAAAAATTTACATAAGGTATTTGGTTCCACTATAAATGTTCGGAGGGTTTTTTTCTAAAACCTGGAAAACTGAACATTTTTCTTAAAACCATTTTCTTCACACTTCAATATGTTCAGAACCATGTAAATTAATGTGTAAACTTGTCTCAGTTCCATCTACACATATCTAATAACTTATTAAATAATAATAGTGTGTGTTATTCCAGTAGCAGCTTGCCTGAATACAAACCAGATGGTGTCATAGCACATGTAGGTTTCTCATGGATGACAACGATTAGGTTAGATGTGGATTTGTTGATTGAATATGGGTCTTATTTCTGTCAGAAACATTAGTCTTGTAAATTAGTAGTGGGCAGGGTGTTAGGATGATAAACAAAGGACACAGGTTTGCTTAATATTTGTCACACCTGATTTGATGCAATGTGTAAGTGTGCGTGTGTGTTTGTTTGTGTGTGCATGTGTGTGTGTGTGTGTGTGTGTGAGAGAGAGGGAGAGAGAAAATCATTTTAAAAAAATGAAAAGCTGTGCAATCACTGAGATCGTGTTAATAATGAATATGTAACTACCACCATCTTGGTATGACAGCTTTGAAATATTCATGTCATTGGGTTTCAGTTTATTATTTATAACAAGGCACCTTGTTTTAATGACTGCACTAGTAAACAGACAAGAATAATGCTAGATTTGTTAAGAAAACTGCTGTAGTCTTGTACATGGTTCATGGAATGAGATCTCCAGCTTACATTTTCTCCTGTTGTACACTTACTGAGTGTGGACAGAACAAGAGTAACTATCATTGCAGTTTTATCCCCTATCATGGACAATAGCTCTCTGTTACATGTACCCTGATATATACAAATATGCTGGCCAGAATTAGAATTTGCTCTCTGAAAATGGAAAGAAGAGTCCATTGCAGAATATCTTGGGATGCTTTGAGAATGTTGAAATGCTATAATTTGAAAACAAATGGAATACATTGACAAAACATATAATAAATGACATCTAGAGAATGGGGAGTGCAGCTTGGCTTTTAAAATCAGGTTAATGTGGTCATTTAAGTTATGTCATCTGTTATCTTCTAGAAGAAATTACGTAAATGATAAAGTATTTATAATGTGCAATTTGTTTCTTTGACATTTTCAAGTTGAAGGATAATTTCATGATATGTATTGTTAATTTATCCAGACCTAGTACTTGGCTAGAGTTGATACTTACAACTGGTTGCTTAGTAACACTAACGGAAAGAATTTAGGAAAAAGTTCTGTTTGTATTTCAGTTTCCATAGCGACGGCCATGGCCTCCCACGGCAACCGTCCAGCCAAGCCCCAGAAGATCTACAACTGTCCTCACTGCACCTATCAGTCAGAATGGAGGGCCACATTTAGACACCATCTCAGCTTTCACACACGGAAGGCCAAGGACATCGAGGGTGCCGTGGCGTGCCCGTACTGCCCATTTAAAACCAGTAATATGGCCAATCTTAACCGCCATACTGCTCGTCACACGGGTCTGAGGAATTTTGAAAGCCCCAATGGTGCAGGCGTCTCACTGAAAAAGTGTCAGCACTGCAGTTATGTGGGCTCATCTAAAACAAAGACTATGAGGAAGCACATAGAGCTCCATCTAGTGAGCAAGGGCAAAGTGAAGTTTAAGGGGAAGTTGAGCTGTAGTTACTGCCCTTTCAGTACTGACCATCAGCACTCCATGAGTAATCACTTACAGCATCATCCCGAGTACACGGGACACAAGATCGTACAGCCAGTGACAGCATCCTCAGTGGCCAGTAAACTTGTCGAAAAAGCTGTGAGAGTTCAACGAGCCTCCTCGTCATCAAGAACCAAGGTGAGACCGCAGTCTTCCATCAAAGTGGAGCGCACAGCTTTAGAAGCAGAGGGGGCTAAAGTAGCGGCAGGGAAAAGCACAGAACTTGGACCCCCTGTCGTGAAGGCTCGGCGTATAGTGTTGAGGTGTGATCAGTGTCCATACAAGTGTCGCAGCAAGAAGAACATGTGTCGTCATATGGAATTTCACATGCATGCGTCCCAGTTTGAATGTGCCTTCTGTACATACAGTTGTAAGACTTACAACTTTCTAGCTATGCATATGAAAGTGCATTATATAGGCAAAGGTGGCAAGATACTTTATCCAAAGACTTCTTTAATGCAGAATGGACAGTGTAGGGGAAGGGGCCTGGATGAATCTGGAGTAAGAGGGAAGGAAAATGGCCCCCTGAGACCCGTAAGGGAGTTGGAGTTGAAGAAGAAGAAAAGGATGCTTGCTCCACTGAGTAAATATCATTGTGATCTGTGCCCCTTTGCAACCAAGGAAGCCTCCCTTTTTGTGATGCATCAAGACTTCCATAGAAAACCAGCCAATCATCAGTGCCCTTACTGCACCTATAAGGTAGCCAAGCTGCAGAATCTGACCAATCACATCAACTTACACTTTGACTGGAAAAAATTCAGGAATACAAAAGACATGCAGATTGCTGCCAAGTTTGAATACGATCTCAGTGAGTTCACTGCTCCTGCGAAATTGACAGGAAGCAGTCGAGCACAAAAAGTGAGAAAGACCTGTCGTTTCTGTGGTCGCCTTGGTGATGGTATTGACATGAATCAACATGAAAGGCAGCATTTGATTGGTTGCTCTTACCTGTGGGCGCCTCCATGCCATGACGACAAAGAGGACACTGATCGTGACGGGGAATGACCCGAATTAAAATGGGTTTTTTTAGGAAATTTTTTTGTTACGGTTAGTTTTACAGCAAGTGAGATGATAAGGGATTTCTTTTTACTGTTCTTCAAAAATCACATTTAACCCCAGATTTCCCCATAGACTCATACATTTAACTCATAACAATATGAAAATATAGCATGGCATCGTTATATTATCAATTTGAATAGTAAGACTTTTATTGGAGTTGTATTGTATATAGTGGATTTGTTAAAGTTGACCTTGCTGTAAACATCTTTTCATTTATACAGGTATTCTATAAAGTTTTTATATGATAAAATGAATACAAAATTTCTATATATCTTTAGTCATCTTATTGTTCATTAAATAAAATGAATGTATTATTTGTTTATTTTAAATTATTGAACATTTTAGCTGCCAAGAACGTAAAGAGTTACTATGTATGTATATATACGCAATTTACATTTTTAAAAGTTGTATTTTATATTCAGTGGTGTGAACTAGGTTGTAGAGAGCAGTGGAAATTTTAGCTTTATTCTGACAGCCTCAGTATTAGGGAATGCTTTTAATGGCTGAATTGAGTAATTATAGTTTAAAAGTATTTCAGAGTATTATCCTATTCCACGCTCGGCCTGTTAGTTGCAATCAAAAACCGATTTGGAGTTCCTCTTACACTTCTGGATTTTTTTCACCTTTCTTATGTGTTCAGTTGAGTAAAAAATAAGTAGAAAATATGATACCAGCATTTAAAAAATTGTCTACTATCACATGTTGCAGTGTAATACAAGGTTACCGCAGCTTGGATAAAAATATTTTGATAAATAGATTCACTGAGGTGGACTGGACATATTTTTCTTTGTTTTGACAAATATTACTGGCCACATGGCTGCTGCACTTATATGTTTGATGTGCAGCATACAGTACAGAATTCTATCATTCAGTGCTTATGACAAATAACTATTGAATTTTTATCCTATTTTGGGAATTTTTCCACTTGTTTTGGTTCTAGTCCTTAGAGTTGTACTACCTGTGCAATATTTCTAGTGAATTCAATAATTAAAATAATAATGAGTTGTATCCAACTTTTTCTGTCTACTGTTGTTGACCGAAAGACAAATTTTCCATTCATATTTCACTTGTTGGGCCTGAGAAGTTTTCTGCAGTTGCTTTTATGTTTAAATATTGTACAATCTTGCAATTTGTCACAAATATATCATGGTGCTTATTTAACTACTTAATTTGCAATCCTTTGTTAAGGAAAATTTCCTTGTTTTTGTATATTATCTGAGTTTAAGTGATATGGAATTGAATTTGATTAATATTTTTAAGATTGTGACTTTGTAAAAATGCAGCAATGAGGAAAGGTTCATACCTAATATTGAGTCTGACCCTCAACAATTGATATTTTTAGAATTATTAAAATATTAATTTTTATGAAAATGGTTCTTTTAAGATTGTAGTAAAATAAATCTGACTTTGTAAATTGCATTATCAAAAATAAGAGCCCCATTATTTCTTAATTAATAAATGAATACTAAGGTTAATTGAACTAACAGTTTCATTAATGTAACTGATGACTGGTGATAATGAAATAATAGTTTGATGTTGATGGGTAGTTGAATTTATTGCTCATCTATTGTTTAGGTTTATTTGGAATGAAAATTGGAAGATAATTCAGTAACACAATAAGTCGTAGCTTTTTAACACAATAGGTCTTAGAGTGCATTCCCATAGATTTAGATCGATCCATCTAGATTGTCCTAACTCCCTGGGGGTTCATGCTAAATTGATGTCAGCCGAGTGCGCATGGTAGTTAATTACCCCCTTACAGCTTTTAGTAGACGGGACAGACGCTTAAGCCAGCTTAGTTGACAGTAATCTAGTGAGACTCTCCACAAGGATAGATCGATCTAAAATCTGTGGGATTGGGGTCTTAGCTCAACTGTAGTGATATGCATGCCAATGTTTGATTATAGTATAATTTTTTAAAATTTGAAAATAAACTGGCATTTAACTTTTTAATCTTCTGTGCTTGTAATATTGAAAGGCAGTGAGTTTCTAATCATGGTTTTCTGTG